CTACAACAATATAAGGGATGGCGCACCTACCGCGAGACTGATAGGGATACGGTGGCCAACCGTATCCGATGCACGAGTCGCTAATTAGCTGCTCCGCCACTCGCTGCACTGCCGCTGTTATTGCTGTTGCTGTTGGTGCTGCTGCTGTAGTTGTTACTGCTGAGGCGACTCCAAGCACGCACGTTTCCCAGTGCGCGCACCACTCGCTCACTTTCGCCGATTATCTGCTGCACCCTCTGCTCTCGCTCGCAAAACAACAAAGACAATGTCTGCACCACGCTCACTAATCCGGATGCTACCTGACTGACAAGGAAGGTACCCGAGGTGTACCTCACCGATTTTCTTGAAATTGTGATATGTTGTAGAACATCAAAAAATATTCGACGCGTATTTTTTTATACGTGCCCATAAGCCCATTTAAGGGGTGAAACCCACCCTTGAAGTTCACCCCTAAAAACAAATTTTTTTTAATTTCTCGAATACAATTCGTAATTTTTTACTGAAACAAAGTGGGTAACACTTGTTATTGAAAAGCACATATTTATGCATTGTTTTTAGTCATCAGACTCGTAACCCCCGTTTTTTATTAATGAAAAACTATATTTGATGACCATTTTTTTCACTATACACATTCCAAAATCTGTTAAATCTTGACAAAATTAATTGTTTTATGCACAATAATCAAAAATAAAGTTGACCTGTTCCGGCATTTTCAAAAAAAAAATCCCTTGTGGGGGTGAGCTACCCCTAACATTTATACTATTATATTTCATTATTCCATTACGATATCATGGTGTAAATTTCTTGGATACTATTAAAATTGTTAAGTAGTTGATGTAGTTTGAAATTTTCTGAAATCAGCCCTTACAAATGAATTCATCCCTAAAACTCAATCTCAAGTATTATTTTTTCATTACTTGAAAATACCCTAGGACTATTCAGTGGCGTAAAACGTGTAATAATATTAGTTCACATCCTTGGTATTGAATTAGAATTCTTCACCCCACTAATGTATCAACCCCTATTTTTCAATAAAAAAATGACACCCTTTTCCATATGAAATTACTAGTTTCTTGAGTTTGACGAAAAAAATTTTGGCAGTATGCACAATATTCAAATACGAAATCGACTGTTCTCACCTTAATAAAAATAACCTATAATAAGGGGTGTACCAGCCCCACAGGAGATATTGTCGTATCTCTATGATTTTATTCTTTTTCTATGGGACTTTCAAAAGTAATAAAAAATTAATGATTCAAAGTACAAAAAAATTTTAAATTTAATATTTCAATAGTTTCGAGTTTTAATGTTACTTTTTATAATCCTGGCAATAATGATAATCATTAGAAAAATGTTTCAAGCATAATGATTTCTTACACCAAGAGCATCTTACAATTGCTGAGTTAGAGCAACCAGGAACTTCACAACGCTCATTACAATCATTACCTAAACTAAAATCTACGGGGTTATCAAATTTATCTGGCTTTGATTCAACGTAGCCACTTTTATACCATGAATATTTGAATAGGTTATTGTATCGAGGAGATGACAATTGATTATGTACCAAGGATTGGAGTTTTATAATGTTATTTCTTTTATGAAGTTCTATATCCTCATTCATTAATGTTACACTGTCCTCGAAGCGACGGACGTAATTTTTCCACACTCGGAAGCCGAAAGCATCTAGTGGCTGAATTTTGCCTGTTGTTCCTTTTGGAATTATTTTTACATCAACAATTTTGTTTGGAGGTGCTGCTTCCTTTACAGCATCAGGGCAATGCCCACTCAACGAATCAATTAATAAGACACTTGAATGCCCAACATTGGGAAAATACACATCCTTCAGCCATGTTTTGAAATGTTCTGTAACCATTGAAAAAACTCATTTTTATTCATATGACATAAGTTAAAAATTGTAATCATCAATAATAAATATCATACCTGAAGTCAGTTTGCCAGAAGCGGAAGGCATCACGTAAATATTTGATGGCTTGAATAATTTGGATTCTACTACCGGTCCAAAGGTTCCTTTACTTTCTTTTAAAACAATGAATAATGGGGAAAGCAGTCTCCTATCACCTGAAATGAGTGGTTGAATTGTGTAACTGTGAGTCGTCGAACTTACAGATTCTACAAGACATTCAATTTGCTTTTCGCCTTCAATAGCTAGTGTTCTTTCCGAGTGCATTTCAATTTGAAATCCACTCTGATCTGAATTGTAAATTGATTCCAAACCTTTGCTTTTAATTATTTTTTTCACATCTGAAACAAAATCATCAGCTGTTTTTTGTAAATATTCTCTCCCTTCAACAGTCTTTTTTGTTACGAATTTATTTATCTTTCTGCTGACTATTCTGTGAGCCTTTTTAAAATTTTGTAGCCAATGACGTGACGCTTTAAACCTTATATCTTCATGTCCAACGATTTTCTGAGCTTGTAATGCCCATTTTTGTAAATCTCTATCGTGAATTATATAACCGGCATCGAAAGCCGACTGAAAATTATCTAATACAAATTTATTGATTCTTCCAATTTTTTCTTTATAAGTGCCTCCTTTATTCAAAGTATGCGCCCATCGTTTCAACTGTGTAATTGATTGGACTTTTCGAAATCTATGCTGCACAGTTTGCAGAGCGAGATTTTTCGTAACTCCACTTCTCCAATAGTCCACAGCTTTTCGTTTGTAATCCCAAGATAGATCTTCTGTATCCGCTGTACATACTAGTGAGTGTTCATCAACATCCGCTGACCAGATTTTATCAATATCTTCAACAATATGCATTTCAGTATCCTTAAATGGTTCTTGAAAAGCTAATGTAGATTCCACAATGAATTCTGGATCCTCAAAGTTATTTATACAATCAAGTAATAGTTTTTCTATATTATCCTTCAAAGCAATTTCATCTTTAGTAATGGGACTTTCTTGTATATTCATAGCTTGAAAAGATAATAATAATAATTGTATAATATTTATACGATTAATAGTCATTTTTCCAATACCTAGAAATAATAATTATTATTTGTTTTTTATATGATGAAATCCGAAGCACATTAATTTGAATATTTTTTTACAAAGTCAGGCAATAATTTTTAATATCATTTAAATCAACATTACACTGACAATTACGTATCAATTTCATTTCTAATTTCTTCGAACGATAATTGAATATTGAAAATTCCAAAATTTCTTGTCCATCTTTGATCCCTCACCAATTCTGGAAAAAGACCACATAAAAATATGAAGTATTGCATTTTATAACTCTTTATAAGCTATATCTAAATCACTAATTAAAAAATTATTTTCGTCAAATACGATGTGAGTATGAAAATTTTTGAGCTTCTTTCTCCGGAAAAATATTTAATTCAAAAATGTAGAGTAAAAAAATGATGAAAATAATTTTTTATGGTTTCTTTAGATAGGGCTTGTAAAGAGCTGTAAAATAGAGTACTTTCAATTTCTGTGCGTTTTTTGAAAAATGGCGAGGGCATGTATACAATATCTATCAATTACCGCGTTAAGAAATTTTACGCAAAAGGAAATTTTACTTACAATCAGGAAATAAGTATTGACCAAAAATTATATGGTAGAATTAATATGTACGAATTCCAAAATACTATGTTATACTTTGATGAAATTTGAAGTTTGAAATTTGGTTGCACATTTATTGGATTCCAATGTAATTTCTTGTAAATTCAACAAACACTGCACTCACAATTAATATACTGATTCAAACGAGCTCGATGAAGCTCTGACTAAAGACTGATGATGAGAGGTAATATCGAGTATTCGAGTGTTGTTTTGGCGAGCTGATTGTGAGTTCAAGAGTGTGATCGCATCGTCGAAAAAGGTCTTATCTATCCAAAACATAGCAAGACGATAATTTAACCGTTGAGGTTTTTCCCACCGTCCGATCTCGACAACAACAACAAGAAAATGATAAATTTAATCTTATCTTGTTATTTTAAGCTGTTCACTTCTCTTAATTTGTTTTCCAAGCGTTTATACGTTTATTCTTCGTATGCATTTATTCGATAATTATTTAGTTCTTCTTGCTTTGAATCATTAATTTTTTATTACTTTTGAAAGTCCCATAGAAAAAGAATAAAATCATAGAGATACGACAATATCTCCTGTGGGGCTGGTACACCCCTTATTATAGGTTATTTTTATTAAGGTGAGAACAGTCGATTTCGTATTTGAATATTGTGCATACTGCCAAAATTTTTTTCGTCAAACTCAAGAAACTAGTATTTTCATATGGAAAAGGGTGTCATTTTTTTATTGAAAAATAGGGGTTGATACATTAGTGGGGTGAAGAATTCTAATTCAATACCAAGGATGTGAACTAATATTATTACACGTTTTACGCCACTGAATAGTCCTAGGGTATTTTCAAGTAATGAAAAAATAATACTTGAGATTGAGTTTTAGGGATGAATTCATTTGTAAGGGCTGATTTCAGAAAATTTCAAACTACATCAACTACTTAACAATTTTAATAGTATCCAAGAAATTTACACCATGATATCGTAATGGAATAATGAAATATAATAGTATAAATGTTAGGGGTAGCTCACCCCCTCAAGGGATTTTTTTTTTGAAAATGCCGGAACAGGTCAACTTTATTTTTGATTATTGTGCATAAAACAATTAATTTTGTCAAGATTTAATAGATTTTGGAATGTGTATAGTGAAAAAAATGGTCATCAAATATAGTTTTTCATTAATAAAAAACGGGGGTTACGAGTCTGATGACTAAAAACAATGCATAAATAAGTATATAAGAATATACTCAAACCGTCAACTATTCTACGCATGCAAATTACTATATTTTAATCCTCGTTCTATCTATCACATAGGTTCGCAGCTCTCGCAAGTAGTCCTAAAACACTATTTATCCGCTTCGAAACTCGCGCCTAAACAACATTTAGCGTAGACGTAACAATATAATGCCAAGATATTGAAATGCAATAACTTTTTACTATTAAAATAAACTTACCAATAGAAGCCGTTTTGAAACTATCAAAGTTTGCATTGGTTTTTTTGATAGCTATAAAATTGAAATTGTTGTTGAAATCAGCATTCAAGTCATTAACAGCTGTGTCAAAAGCTTTTTCCAGTTGTTGATCACCTATATGAAAAATAGCCCCTGCAATAATCCAGTATTAGCTTCCTTGAAATTTTAAATCCGTTAAAATGTTCGTGTAATATTGAATCGTTATAAAGACAGAAATTCAGAAAACTTACGAAAACAATCTTTTCGCTAGTTTTTCAATTTCTCACTTTGATTAACCAAAATTTTGCGAGTTAACAAAAATTACAGAGGTACACTTAGTTACCTATCTGCAAAAATGATAGGATATAATAAATAAAATAAAATAAGTTATAAACAAATATAATTAAAATAAAACAATTACGTGTATAATATTTTATTTTTGCAACCCATTTTTGCATAAATATTTATTTTCAATAGAGCAGTTGTATTCATTTATTTATTAAAAGTTCTAAATTGATTAGTTACATATTGAACTATCATCACCTACAGTGAACATGAAGCCTTTGTTTGAAGAATTGTTATAAAAATATATTTATAAATAAATTTAAACAAAATTAATAAATGGTACAAAAATGAAATCCTGTATTTTACTTATTTGATAGATTATATAATAACTTAAAAAACATTTTTGATATTACGGAAGGAAGGAAGTTATTTAGGACTAAAAGACAAGAAGAGAAAACGTGCGAAGAGTCTGACTACGAAGGGACACGGAGTAGAAGAAAAGAAATCCATGATGACGGTATAAATAATAATCAACTTATTAATTTCAATATTTTACCATTTTTTATAGCCGACTCAGAAATTCTTCATTAAATAATATTTATATGTTATTTAATTAATGAGACATACTATAAAGAAAAATCACGCCTCGGCCGTTGCTTTCCGTTGAACTCTCGCCAATGCCCGCGCGCCTTGCCAAGCTAAAAGTGTGCGCCGGTTGAGCACACTCTCATTGTTTTGGTTTTTCTGATTTGAGATGCGACGGCGGTGACAGCGGGCTAGAGGGAGAGCCCGAATCCAAGTGTCGGGCAGCGAGCGAGGAGACACAGGGAGATAGAGAGACAGAAGAGAGAAGAGGAGAGAGAGAGACAGACGCTGGCAGAACTGCACGCGCACCCTCCGATAGAAGAAGAGGAATAGGCAGTCGAGTTTGAACCTTTTGACCGATCGCCGCGCGCACAGTTTATAGAAATAGTTTTTGTGAGTTTTCCCGCGCCCTCGCCGATAGTTATTGTGACGGATACGTACCCGGTGCTCAGAAGCGAGAGAGTGAGAATTGTTGTCGGGGATGAGTCCAACCGAAAGTGCAGCAGGGCCGGCACCGGTGCACGTGGGAAAAACGGCGAGGTGTCGCGGTATGTGCGCGCGTGCGGTCATTTTTGGTGCGGAGCAACGGAGAGCGGCAATAAGAGATAATTATAATATGGACAATTCCACACAATACAAAGTTAACAATAGCCACCAAATCACACACTCATTCAACAACAAATAACAATAGCAATAGCCACAACAACAACTAACAATAGCAATAGCCACAACAACAACTAACAATAGCAATAGCCACAACAACATTAACAATAGTAATCATAGCAACAACAGTATCAACAACAACAGCAACAACACTAATAACAATAAGATCAGGGTGCATGGAGGAAAACAGGAGAGCAAAGGGAGAAGGACAGCATAACAACAACGAGTAGTACGGAGAAAGTCGGTGCCGTGTTATCTCTCTCTCTCTCTCTCTCTCTCTCTCTCTCTCTCTCCCTCTCTCTCTCTGCCTGATGCTCGAGCTTTGAGAACTCTCGCCGACTTACACAACATCCACATCGTATCCACTGATTCTACACATCACTGTCTCGACATAAATCCCCCTTCCCACGTCACATTTGACCTCTTCATACTGAAAGACTCTAATGCCATCCAGAGCTTTAGAAAATCCGATACTCCCTTTATTGCTGGCCATGATTTTATCACGCTCACCTCTTCTCCCTTAGCCGCTACTGCTCGAATTCGCAACCTACCCTTTTCAGCTCCTTGAGCGTAGCGAACGGTTTCCCGTACAAATACCTCGCGAAGGTGGGATGCAAACCTTCTTTGCAAATCGCCACCTGCCTTTTCTCCGACGGAGGCCTATCAGACCGGCGAACGATACATTGGAATGCGGACACGTAATCACCCAGCATTTCTCCTTCAGCCTGTGTCCGTAACCGTGACTCCTGGTATAAATCCTCTCTTTTATAATGCCTTCCGCATTCCTCCTTTAAATCTGCGAGGAACTCCCTGAGGGTTCGCCAAGTATCTTCATTATTCCGATACGAGAGCCTTTACCGTTAATACTATGCCCACCGTCCGGAGTACTTCATCATCTTTCAACCTGTAAAAATCCTGGCACTTCCTAATATCGCCTGCGAAACCGTCGACATCCGCTCCTCCGTCGCCCGAAAACTTCAGCGACCAAGAGCGAAAGGCTTTCACCGCGCCCATCGGTTTATAACGTCGGGGCTACAAGTACTCCGGCGCCTCGGTTTGCGACTGGCTAGCCCCGCCTCATCCGAACTCGGGGACTCGCTCTAACTATCCTCCCATTCGCTGGCCGATGGGCACCTCGTCCTGTACTCCTCCCTAGACCTTCCCGGATCGGCAAAACGTGGTCCAGCCCGCGGCGACGTTCCCTCGATTTTCACAGAGTGATTCTCTCGAGCGCCGCCCTTCAACAGTTCCCTCACTAAGTCTTCCCAATTTCTCATGACCTCCCCAATCTCGCGTGGTAATGCCGGGGTGTTCGTCCTCCTGTCGAACGGCCCCAATATTTCCTCTCCGATGGCGTCGCTTTCCTCTTTGGAGAAAAATTCGTCCTCCGAAACCGGCTCACGCGAGCTACTTTCCTGCCGCCGGCGCGACGCAGAGTGAGACGGTCGCTCCTCTCGCGTCCGTCTACGTGGCGTCCGAGTCGCCGTCGTACCCTCAGCGCGCGGCGCATCCCGCCTACCCGCCTGCATCCCCAACGCAGCCTCTTCTACGCGATATAAATTATTCGCGCTCTCAGATAACGCTGCTCGCACTTCCCTTCGCATAACCAATCCAGGCAGGCTCGCGACGATGTTCCACGCCTGCCCGAAAACGTTAGAGCCTCCCGCGACACCCCGGAACGCCACCTCTCCGTGAGGCGCCAACTCTTTCCTCGAATCGGCGAGAGCCGTCGCCCCATCATTTGACGCAATTTGGGCATTGTCCTACCCGTCCTCGCTCTTATACTCTGGCCAGCCTCTCTGCGCCGCCACCGGTTGCGGCTACTCGTCCGAGGATGCCAAGCTCTCTCGCCTGCGAATTGACGCAGGCTCGATCTGGCCTTCCAGTCGTCTGTTGCTCCCTTTGCTTCTATCCGGCTGCAGGTCTATGTTGACCTCACGCGATTCCTTCCGCAGAATGCCCTCTGGTGGGCCCGTTATAACGCCCAACTCAAAGTCACTAGGACTCAGGGGCGGATTAAACTCCGGCCGTTCACGCGAGATCATATAGCGCAGCATGCGCTGCTGAAGTTCTCTGAAGCTACCCGTCACGCTTAGGCCATAGCTCTTAAAGAGACTCATTAACTCCGCGGGCGGCGTCTCATTGATTCGCCGCTTAAGGGCCCGTACTGATCTATCCTTTAAAATTTCGCACATAATCGCGCCTGCCGTCCCGCTCAGCGGTATTTTGACAAGCCACTTGCTTTCCGCACCGCCCGAACACCCAATCCACTATCACGCTCGCGATGTGGGCACAACCGACGACCGCGTCGCGCAACTGTCCAATTATATAAAAACGAAATTAAACAAAAAGAAACACTAATGACCAACACTAACTTGCCCGAAACTATAGTCCAGTCTACTCTCATCATCGGCGGATGCGACTTCTACGCATTCGCTTTCTGTCGTTTGTCCGTTACACTCGATCAATAATATAAAATAATATTTCAGGCAGTGCGAATTATACACACTGCTCTGTGTCCTTAATCTCAAAATAAAAACACAAATACTAACTACTCACTCTCGCCGCGGCTCTCAGGGAAGGGCGCACCTTAGATAATTTGCTTATCAAAACAGCTTAGTACCCAACGGCCGTACCGTTCAAGCATCTAACTAACCGCGCTGACAATAACCGCTTCTTAAATGGACTCGTCTATCCGTCCCTTTACCGGTCCTATACTATGGGTATGATGAGTAGTGGCCTTCGACACGTTAGGTCGATGACTCACTCGCCCGTGCCTAAGTGTAGCGATGACAACACAACCATGCTACAAATTCGGCCACGTATCTCTCTCTCGACCGGCGCTCTCTGTGAACCCGAGATGGGGAATGTAAACAAACACCGTTCGAGCCGCGACTCAACGCAGCTCGACCGATCGTTCGGTCACCTCTCCTCTCGGCCTCAACCGACCTTTTCAAATTCCTTTGTTTCCGCGAATTGCTTTTCTACTTTATAATTTCGCGTCCTCTCTCTCTTTCTCACGACTATCTCAATCGCGATTTCCGCGAGTTTCCCACAAGGGATGCCATGTCACACATACGTTAATAATTTTGAATTCCGCATGGGAAATAAGTCCGATCTACGTCGCGTCACAAATTATTTTAAGGGGGAAGGCTCGGAAGGCACATTCGCTTCGTCACGGAAAATTAACGAAAGCCTATGTCGTCCGGTAGTGTCGATGATCGCGATTTACCTAGTTACGAGAGAGACAGGTTGCACAAAGAAACTCATCATTTCGGACATTTATTTACACTTAGTACTAACAGTAATTTACATACGGCATTTGACGTGTGCGTCGGCCAAGTCCGGGCTAGTCCGTTCCGTGCGAATTAACGCACAGGAAACAGAACATCCCCTTACAACTGTTCCGCGAATTCCTGCGAGTGCGATGCGAATTTATGCATGCAGCCACTCGTCCGCGTCCGGCCGATACAATGCTCAGAGAGAGAGAGAGAAATCGAGGCGTGCACCGAGAAACGAAAAACGGTACCTGACCTTAGGAGGGAACGCTGCTGCGGAAGTCCGCGTCCACTGGGCCAACTATGTCGTCCTCGAAAGGTGGAACTCTAGGTGGATGCAGA